GGAGCTACATTTTTTACGATTTTGGACTAAAAGACGTAGAAAGACTTTATAGTCTAACGTTTCTTTACTAATGTTTGTTCAATTGATCGTGTAAAACAAACATTACAGAGAGTTTTACCGCCCTAAACCCCCCCCTTTAGGGGTGGGTAGTGTTACGGACACTAACAATAAAAACATGCGTCGATATTTCTAAACCACGTTTGTAGATGAGCGCAGTCTTTCTTCCGACTATATTTTTTTAGGTTTTTGTTTTTGTTTATAATTACTACCTTGAATTACTCCCATAGATCTCTTGAAACAAACAGACTCGGACAACTTAACAGTCCCCATAAATTAATGACAATTTTAGATCTGTAAAAATGCTTTTGTCAAAACTTCATTCACGAAATCAAGGGAGTGGTTTCTCATCCAAATATTCGAGAGTCCCTCCTCCCGAATTTCACGTATTCACCGGTGGGGATTGGACCGATCCCTCATGACATCAAGGTCCTTTAATAGTGACGGTGGGAGGGTATAGTTCGAAAAACTGTCCACCCAGTTTCCAGTCTCGTCGTCCTAAGGACAAAAAACAGTCCTCTCTACGAACCATTGGTTGTGTACTGAACTAACGTTGATAAAGGGGGTAAGAAAAACTACATCCACAAAAACATATGTGTCATGTAGTACGTCTGAGTGATGCACTACACTAAGAACATCTTATATTAACCTGTTACGATTTGTGGGTACATAAGAACAACACGTTGGGACATAACGTTTTATTCTTATTTACTAACAACTTTAGGTAGGTCGGTATTTTACCTCATAAGTAGGACGGTAAACAGCTGACCATTGTACAGTGTCCGTGTACGACCCACACCGACCGTCCGACGGCTAGACTGACCCTAAGTGGTCGTCGGACGAGATTAGGGGATTTATATCACAACGTGACTGGAGATTGAGGAATGTGAGTGAAGTTTCAGTCTCTGTTGTGGAAATGAAACATCTAATGAGTTTCAAGTAAAAATTGGACAAATTCGGGGCTCTCTGGCGGGGCCATGGGCCCCGGAGGACGTTGTACGACGTCCCTTTGTACAGACTCCCTGTCACAAGTAAAATTATTTGATACCTTACCAAATTATAGGTACAATTACCTTGTCTTTTGAGTAGATTGACTAGTATAAGATTTTTATAAAGTTTTTTTTTGGGTGGTTACGATTGGCGACTCGAGACCTTAATTGTTGCTCGCTTTTACGATTGTCTATTGACGTTGCTTCATGGTTTAAGTAGTGTTTTGGAATAATAACATAGCAAAAGTTGTAGCACTCCTCTGTGTCTTAGCTCCCCATGGGGAGTAATAGTGAGTTAATATGCTTGAGCGAGTCTCTATTATTTGTTCTTGTGTGTTAGTTTCGTATACTTCGATCCATCGAATTTCTTGTGATTGTACGCCGAGTGGGGAGACAACATCAGACCAGTTTCACCAGAAATTACCGTAATTTGCTAATTTTTGCGACGACTTCAATTTAAGTATCCAATTAGGTTACACAGACACAAGGAAAACTTAATAAAGAACATATAGGTACTCGTTATTTGGGAACCGAAAAGCAAAAGTCTTAGTCTCGATGTCTGTCGGAAAGTGAGAACCCGTTTTGACCGTACGCGC